TGTCGATACTGTCGATAGGGTCGGTGTAGTCAGAGATGCTCCACTATCGAGCACACTGAATATATCTCGCTCTACTCGACAGTGGAGCAACACTCAGTAGCTTGTTACAACACTATCTCGCTCTGCTCGATAGTGTCGCTCGACAGTGGAGCAACACTCGGTAGCTTGTTACAACACTATCTCGCTCTGCTCGATAGTGTCACTCGATAGTGTCATGATGGTGTTGCTACCATATGAGTTCCCTGCAAAAAATTCCTTTTGTAAAAGTTGAAAAAGGTTTTTCCGTTTATATTGAAGTAGTTTTGGAAAATTATCAAAGTATGTCGACAATACTAAGGGCCGTTCCATCAAAACAACGGCTTCAGGAAGCCAGGAAGTTGAGCTTTGAAATATTTGATCAATTTTGGAACCCCACAGGAAAGCGGAACCCCGCAAAGATCTTGAGAGCTTCGTTAAAGGGTCCCGATCTTGTTAAGTACTATGGTAATAACGATGCTGTGCCCACATTTAAAGATTTTCAGAAATGGTTTCCCGAGTTGAAATTAGTGGATCCAAGAGAAGCACATAGAACGCATATGGTTGAAGACAGAAAGAGGAGAAACAAAGGTGCTCCAAAGAAGAAGAAATCTTAGCTTTTATATATATATACATATATATATATCATTTCGTGTTTAAAGTTTTCTTATTTCAATACATGTATATATGTTACTTGGCCTTTGACTTTTTCTGCATATGAAAGGTATCCGTTATATCCTCTTGTGTAAATAAACTATTTGATGTGGTGTTTTGTGTGTCCCCTAGAGAAGGTGCTGATAACCTCAACTTTTCCCACTGTTTTCCTCCAAAAAAATCTGAGTAAATCACAACAAAATCTTGGCTTGAAAGGAATGCAACTGATTGAATATTTCTCAGAGTAGTTGCAACAATCTTGAATGACGCGTCTTCTTCTTCATATTTGAATATTACTCTCTTTGTAATTATGAACAAATCATTACTAGGCAGTTGTGCTTTTTCAATAAAACTGATTGGAGTTTTAGTTTTGAGCATAGTAATATACTCAAAACTGAGTTTGTACTCGTGCGCATGAATTTTGTAACAAAGACAATAAACGTCATTGAGGATAATGAACATAAGATTATCGCGTCTAACCAGTAATAAACTAATAGCTAGTCTGTTTGGTGCTGCAAAATGATTACAAATTTCAACTTTCCAATCTGTCTCGATCCATCCTCTTAAACTGGTCAATTCCAAATTTTGAAGTTGCACAATCCGGAGCAAGTCAATAGAAACTACTTGTATTTCAATAAAACCGTTTAGTATATTGGATATTAGCAAATACTCTTTTTCCTTGAATATGACCCAATTGCTCCGAAATTTATCATTGTATATTTTCATCAAACGCTCACCAAAAGTATCTTCCTTTTCGCTTAACTCTATATCAAGAGTCGGCTCCAAAACCCCAATAGACAAAGATCCATAAATTTTCAAACTGTATCCCAGAAGCTTATCAGACCCATCCAAAATCAGGAGCCAGCTTCCACTATGAGACCAATCTATTGTTGCTTCATTAGTAAGAAAAGCCAGTAGTTTACACTTGGCAACAAGTGTACTCGTCAGTCCACTATTATAAAACTGGTATATAGTGGGTGGCACATTATACTCCATTGTATCTGCAATTATAGACCAATACTGGATACGACCATTGCGACTGCATAGGATGCAATTGCTCAAGGGTTTATGAATGGTGTATAACTTCTTAGGACAATCCAAAGAATACAATTTGGCACTGAGATTGTTTTTGGCGAAAATCAACAATTGAGTACAATTCATGTAACTACTTTTGCCGCCTTCACCACCACCACCGCCATCACCATCACCACCGCCACCACCACTAGCTGTATCTGCAGGTGGGATCCATAAAAATGATTCAATCCCTTCACTGAAATTCTGTTTAATTACGATTATACGCGAGTGCGCATCCCGAACATCAAATATTAGCACCATTGAGTACCTATCAACCAAGACTGCCAATTTCGTACTCCTAGATCCTACTTGTATGCCTTCCCATTGAGTTTGTTTAACTTGAATCACCTCATCGACGCGTACTTTTACCTTTTCCTTTCTCAAAACCGAATGCAAATCGAATTTCCAAAGCTGCCGTTTAGTTGAAACATCAATTATCTCTAAATAAGTAGTAGTTGTCTCTGCATCTATCTTGATCTGGCTTATATACCGATGACATGGTGAAATATGCACATCTACCTTCACCATACTTGTCTCGTTATCAATGTTTTTGTTTTTTGTTCCTCACACTAAAAGCAAAACAAATATACAAATGAAAATATATATATATATATATAAAGAAGGTACAAGGTATATAGAAAAGCATTATCACCACTGACAGTACCAGGTTTGTTGGAAACCGGACTATTTGCTTGGCTTTGCATATATCTTATAGTGATATCATGAGTTCTCGGAGAAGCAGATCTACGAAATCAAAAGGGAAAAGCGCTAAAAGACCACGCACATCAAAAGGCATTGATAACAATGATGGAGATGAGAGGCATGAGAAGCACCACCAAAAGCAGACCAGTAGTTTGCTTTCAAAAGATAGAGGAAATAGGCTTTCTACATTATTTGGATCTAGTAACTCTCAAGGTACTCGCTCCAGCCAAACGCCCAAGATTACTGAAACTAACTCGGATAACTATGGTGGTGGTGATGATGATGATGGTGGTGATGGTGATTACCGAGAGCAATTGTACTCTCCGCCGTTGGATATAAGGAAGAAAAGGAAAATTGCTACACCAGTGAATCAATTGCATGAAACGCCTCTCGGAGAAAATCTGTTTGATAGCGATTCCTCGGACGATTTCCTCAATCTAAGAAACTTCAAGAAAAACCTGCATCAACTAAATGCCAATAAAAAAAGGCCAGATATAGCTAGCACATCTTCATCTACATCTCGAATAGACAAATTAACAAGCCGCCCAAGCTCGTCCCAACATTCCGATTCGATCAAGAGCAAACTAAAGTCCCCGCTTACAGGAACTTATGGCATTAGCACAGGATCTCAAGGTAGTGGTAGCCGACGACTTTCAGGGGTGGTTCGAGGAAAAAGAGTGAGCGCTATTGGAAATGGCTTCATTGGAGAGCCACATCTGGAGATACCACAATCAAGCTATCACAAGTTCTTGGACCAATCGGCATCAGAAGAAGATAAGATGCGGCAACTTTTGATATGGAATTTGAAAGCACAGCTCGCAAAAGATGAAAACAGTCGTTTAGGATCTACCTTCAATGTAGAAAGTCATGCTTCATATGATATAGGTAAAGCTATAAAGGACGAATTGATACAAGTGTTAACGGAAGGTTCATTTTCTGTTGGGTGGAAGACTTTGGGTTCCTCTTTTTTTGATAATGAAAATGGTGGGCCAGCACTATTGCCTAATCCATTGAACAAGTCGAACCTTGAAAACATCAAATTTTTTTCAAAGAGCTTACAAAATCTAGAGCAGCAGTTGGAAGATTGGGAAACCACGTATAGGGCAAGCGTTGCGCCCATTGAGAAACTAACAAGCATTTCAAATACAAAAGACAATGTTGAAAGACCAGAAAGTCTTGTTGATAGTACACTAGTATCCAACTTTAAGGAGCTAGAAGATAGCTTTACGAAAACACGTGAGGATTTGGTTCAGGTAAGACCTATGGTAAAGAAGCTATATCACGCTGGCTACCAAATGAATCAAGCATCTGAGCTAATAAAGGATGTGGAGAAGAACAAAATACATAAACAGATATCGCGTAGTTTGCAAGTTTATGGAAGTCTGAATCTTGCGAGAAACCAAGAACCTTCTTTGCTCAAAAAGGATAAGAAAGCTACGTTTTCCAAGACTAGGAATCTTCTCAAATCAATTTGTCAAACAAAATTTCAAAATTCTCAAGTAAAGGGATAAATTGAAAAAAATGAAAAAGGGATAAAATTGGGAAAAAGAGGGAAAAAGAGGGAAAAAAATAAAGCAATTCCTTTCTAATACAATAGTGTCACTAGTCAGTGCTTCGCCACTATCTCGCTCTGCTCGATAGTTGATAATCAGACTAGTTTTGATTCTATGATCTAACACGGATCCACCAAAAATTTTTTTTATGACTTTTTTGCAAACAAAGGCTCGCCGATGTTCTTTCCCCTTAATTTGACACCCAATGCACGCTCTAGTTTACCCAAAACTTGCTGGTTTGGAATAGCCCTACCAGCTTCATAGTCATTAATAACATTTGGTTTTTCATTTACCTTTGTAGCCAAATCCTTTTGCGTCAACTTCTTTTCTTGTCTGGCTTGTTGAATGGCTTTCCCGACACTAGAGTCGACTTTCTTCACAGCCACTACATCATCTGTAGCGTCCAACTTGGTCAATTTTTGCCCTTCAGGATTTGACTTGGTATTGGCTGAACCATATTTCTTTTCAGTACCAACAACTAATCCTTGTCTTCTTGCAGCGTTCAACTGAGCCTGTGTTCTTGCAACATTTTCTCTTGGACCTCCACCTCCAACTCTAGCCTTTTGACCGATAATCGTTACTGTATCCCAATCTGACATACCTTATAAATTATATTGACAAATAAAGATGGATAATAGTATTAAATAAAGAGAGAGAAAAAAAATTCATGTATTGCTCACACTATGCGAAAGCATACAAAGAAAAGGAAAGAAGATTTCGCCACATCTCTCCATGAGATTACAAAATGGCACGACTTTTAGAGTCTATCGACTCTATCGACTCTATCGACTCTATCGAGCAGAGCGAGATAGTGGAGCAGCACTGACTGTTTATGACACTCTCGAGGCATCAAACAATGATATCCCAAAATCAACTCTACTCTCCCAAAATCAACTCTACTCTCCCAAAATCAACTCTACTCTCCCAAAATCAACTCTACTCTCCCAAAATCAACTCTTAACAACTCCTTAACAAACCCTTAGCAGTAAAAGCGATGAGCAGTAAGAGCGATGAGCAGTAAGAGCGATGAACAGTAAGAGCGATGAGCAGTAAGAGCGATGAGCAGCAAGAGCGATGACCCCTACTTCTCCTTCTCCTTCTATATCACCTACAACGTCTCCTTCAACACCTCCTACTACCTCTACTTCTTCTATTTCTATATCACCTACAACTTCTCCTTAGCAACTCCTTACAATCAAAGCGTACTTAGCAATGATGGACCCAAGATGCTTACTGACATTCTAAACTAATTTTAATCTTGTATATGTTTCTTTGCAAAAAGTCCACTATCGAGGAGAGCGAGATAGTGGAGTAACAAGCTAGTCGGTGTTGTAACAAGTTACAAAGTGCTGCTCCACTATCTGTTCGATAGTGTCGATAGTGTCGACAATTTGTTAGGAGGTTAGTGGTAGCGCGTCGAAACACTATTTTTCAAACGGAGAAAGCGAAAAAGTGTATATAGAATTATTCATTATTGCTTTCTAGTATATAGTATAGCTTCATTATGACGACAATTGAAGTCAAGTCTCGTTCCAAATCGATAAAATCGTACTCTTCCAATGAATTGACCACGGACTCGTTAGTCGAGGAGTTGATCGACGAGCTCAGCGCTGATAATCACCTTTCTAAGCACAGACTTAGGTTAACTAGATTAGACCAAAATGGTAAACAAGTTCCGTTAGTTGCCCATCAAACTTTTGCTCAAAATGGTATTCCCAAAAGCGAAACGAACATCCAGTTATACGTGAAAGACTTGGGTCCTCAAATCTCGTGGAGAACCGTTTTTTTGGTTGAATATTTTGGACCTTTTATCTTCCATCCATTGTTTTATTTCGTTCAATCATTGTACAATGTCCCACCATTCAGTCATACCAAGACCCAGAAACTTGCATATGCTATTGTGTTATTACACTTTGCCAAGCGTGAGTATGAAACTTTGTATGTTCACAAATTTTCTAACGCAACCATGCCCATTTTCAACATTTTCAAAAATTCAACGCACTACTGGATCTTATCCGGGTTTAACTTGGCATATTTCGTTTATGGTCCGTCTTTTGGCTATACAGGTTTAATGAGTTTTGTGTTTCATGTCAATGAATTGCCTAGCTGGGTTACTTACTCTCTTATTGCAGTATGGGCTTTTGCAGAGATTTCAAACTACAAAACTCACAAGATATTAAGTCAAATTAGAGATCAAGATGTTAAGAGATATGTTATTCCTCATGGTTACGGTTTCAATCTTGTTTCTTGTCCCAACTATTTCTTTGAGTCCTTGTCATGGCTTGTGTATGCATTGTTGGTTGGTAATTGGGCTGCATGGATATTTTTCTTTGTTAGCACGGGACAGATGTGGCTTTGGGCCGTAAAGAAACACAAGAGATATTTGAAAACTTTTGGAGACGATTACAAAAAGTTGAAAAGAAAGGTATTTATTCCATATATTTTGTAATATGGACACTATCAAGCAGGAGCAAGATAGTGGAGCAGCACTGTCTAGTGACGCTATCGAGTGACACTAGAAGTTTCCATCTTATTATTCTGATTATTGATTATCCAACCTTAAGCAAATACTATTGACACAATGTCTTTCATTTGTAGGTGTTCTAAAGCCTTCTCCTTTGAAAATGTGACCTAAATGAGAATCACAGCTAGAGCAAGCTATTTCTTCCATTAACCTTCCATGGCTCGTATAACGCAAATCAGTTATGACAATTAATGCGCCAGGTAATGCTTGGTAGAATGCTGGCCAGCCACAATCCGATTGGAATTTCGTGTTTGCCATATAGAGCGGTTGCAGGCAAGCGGCACATCTGTAAACACCACGGTCTGAAGCTGCTGTATAGGTGTATTTCCCTAAAAACGGTGCCTCTGTTCCCCTTTGTCTTAAAACTTTATATTGCTCAGGCGTTAGAATTGCTCTCCACTCGCTCTCACTTCTTGACATTTTGGTAACAAAATTGCTATAAATTTAATATATTTGAATTGTATGGTAATACTAGACAGTAGAAAAAAAAAAACCCTTTGGGTTAACAAATTACAGTTTGATTGTCTTATTATTCAAGAAGAAGAATCTAAGCAACTTAATAAAGGGTCTTAATTATAATAAAATATAAAATTAATTAATGAATATGATATTAGCTCCCCCCGCTTGTCTAGACAAGCGGGGTGTTAATACATTAATATAATTAGTACATTGATAGGAGATATAAGTTCAGATGACGAAAAGATTTAAAACAAAAAAAAAAAAAAAAAAAAAAAATAAAAAAAAAAAATTTAAAAAAAAAAAAAATGACAAAAAAAGACGATTTTTTTTGGGATTGTTTT